GGAACCTTGTAGATATTTCTGGTTTAAGCATGACCCAGGGACAGTGTAGCTCCTTGGCTTACCGATGAGTCCATTTGTGCGCTGTAACGACGCCATCATTTGCTTCCACAGATCGCATTTGTCGACGGGTTGCTGTTTCGATGGAGTTGTCTGCACGTCGTACTTGAAGAGAAGACCGTCTGGCCAGGAGCTGAAACCAGGCGTTTTCAGAAGAGACTGCGGAAACCTCCCAGTGCTGAAGCTTTCACCTGTTGACAGTCTTCGGATGAGTGATGTACTCCACTTTCGTGTTGACGTATCGAGGGGCATATATGGTGCCGCCGAAGGTTCTAGCCATGTCTTTCTGAAATGAGTTATGTTCATTCCTTGCAAAAGCGGCGTTTGTGAGTACTAGTATTTTACCTGGAACATGTCAACAATTTCCACATAAGGTGGGCTCTTAGAAGACCCATACTCGCTGGAATAAAGCAAAGGACGAGAATCGCGATTGACTACTCGGATCTGCATCGGTGTTTCCACCACTCGTTCACATCTGTAATGGCCTAGAGATTGATCTCAAGAGAATATCTCATGGGTAACGGCCAAGAAATACTAGATAGCATCAGGACCCAAAGTTCCGCATGCGTTTTGAAAAATTAATCTCTGATCTGTTTTTTTTTCACCAAATAACTCTCTTTACGAGATAGTAACGATTTTGCTCGCGTCACCTTCCCTGTAGTCGCACAAAGCACTTGGCTGTGGTCTAGGAGGGCGCTGTTTGACAAGTATGAAGGTAACGAAAGAGGCGTTGCAAATGGTATCCTGGGCGCGGCATTCGCGTTAGGACCCAATTGACTTGACATGTCAAGTTAACTTTCCGCACAAGTCGGCGTTTCCAATGCCCTGAAGTACACGCGGCCAGGATTGCAGCGATGCGTGCGGTGTCGCAATTGGGCAGCGCGACGTATGCAGTATGGACAGCAGTGGAGTGTGGGCGTTCAAGGCAATTCCGCCGCTGAGAAAAATTTTCCAAATGC